ATGATTTATTATGAACTTTACTATGGAACTTTTTTTGAGATTTGGGGCCTTAAAAAATCTTTTAAGACTTAGAGAAAATGAAATATAAAAAAATGAAGCTCGTAGTAATACTTTTTATTTACTATAATAATAAAAACTTTGAATAACTACAGTAAAGACTTTGATACACAATATCAAACTAAATTTAACTAAATTAAACTCTAGGTTACTGTAGAATTTTACAGAATGTTACATAGAGTTCAAATAATTTCAGGTAATACATATTCAGTTTCAAAAAATGTATTTGAAGCTCTTGTAGGTTAACTTTTTACACAAGAATTTATAAACAAAGCTTCCCAATAGCCAAAAGACCATAATTTATAAATTTGAATTTGATGAGTGTACTGTAAGCTAAAATAAAAACTGAAAACAATGCATTAAATGTGGAACAAAATTTGAAATATGCCAATAATTGCGTTATGATTAATATAGTCTTTTTAAATACATTTTTCGTTTTGTTTCATTTCAAACAGCTTAATAAATTCACTGGTTTCTCCGTGTGGTGTTCAATCAGAACAGGCAACTGTTGTTCCGGTAATATGTATAGAAAATAAAATTTTATACCAGAAGTTCGGCTCATAACAGTACATTTTCTGATGTTAAAATTGTGGTCTTTGTTACCATAGCAAAATGTCTTTTTAGGTTAGTAAAATCTTTAGTATGCTATGTATTAAGGAAAAAATATGGAAAAAATGCATAAATGTCCTTTCTTTCCTTTCTCAGTCGTACAAAAATTACATGTAGGCCTAAAATATTTATTTGTTAAATATGTATATTTGGAATTGTACCTAGAAATGTGAGGATACTGCACTTTGCATGAAGTTTTGACAAACTTACTCATTCTCCAATTAATCCATACCCACCTCTACCAAATACGGATACGCCCTTGATGTAAATTTAAAAAATGACATGAAAGAATTTCAAGGTGTAAAGGATGTATTTGTTATGACAAAAGATTTGACCTATAGGAGGAAGCAATTTTCCTGAAAAAGTCACACTTAACAATCAATGTTCTTTAGTTGTTTTCTATCGAATATTTGTTTAATTTTTTTAAATTTGCTTTTTGAATCTACTTTTTTTTATTTGCAACTTTGAAATTAACCTCCAAAGTTGGTCAGATCAGTAATTTGTCCGTTAAAGCACTAATTTTTGCGTGAATTTTGGCATAGAAGTCCTTCAGGGCAGGCCTGCCCCTAAATTAAATTATGAAATTTTGATAGATTTTGATCTAAAGAATGATTTAAAACAAGATTTTTTAGGGGCACCCCTGCCCTAGGGTCGAAATTCGTAAAGAACCTACAAAAATCCCAAAACCTATTCCTATCATTCTGGATTATATTTATGACGTATGTTTTCAAAGTCAGTGCAGATCAGAGAGATAGACCGTAGACTCTCACAATGGACATTTTAGTGTCCTGGTTCGAATCCACCTGTTGGCGCACTTTTATTTTTTTTAAATTTTTCACCTGTATGAACACGAATTTAATTTTTTTTATGCAGACTTTTGCATTTTACTTCTATTTTCTTCCTTAAATGTATGTTGCTGTTGATATAAAAGACATTTATGGAAATGCAGACCATAAATTCTCTTTTTTAACTAAAAGCAATCAATCGGAACTATACCTCAGTGTAAGCAAACTTTGTTCGAGGACACAAATCATTGACTTTGTGTTACTCGATACTGCAGGTGTCACGAAAAAAAAATCATACCGAGCAAAAATTGCTGTGTTTGTCTTTCAAGAACATCACTGGGTAATATACTATTGTGCCATTGGGACAGATACTGCGCTATGCAGAGTAGATGCAGTTCATTCCTCGGGAAAATTGTGTGCAATGGCGACATGTTATGTCAAATATGCAGGAGGAAGGTTTACAGATTAGAAAAGAATGTGGTAAGATCAGTTAAGGTTTTCTGTCCCGTTGCCATTACCCAGGCATCAAGTAAGGACCCTCATACAAAGGATGTATCTGTAAATACTTGCAAACCATGAAGACACTGTTGAGTAGAACTAAAACGATACACGAGAAACAAGAAACTGCACACATGTGGCCTAAAGTCAGCGACCGGAACGGATATCGATAAGCTTTTTTCTAGAGACTGAAACCAATATCGGCCCTATAGGTCAACGTATATATTTACCTAGAAGTGATCCTTTTGGAATTCATCATTTGTATGATTTGACAAATCCTTGTTGACACGATCACTCGTAATTATTGATTATAATGACTGTATAGGTAATTTCAAGTCAACTAAAATTTCAGTCACCTTTACAACTACTCTACTACGTAAATTGTATAATGCTTGAAATAACAGGAGAGGGTAGTATGAACCTCTTTATTCCAATTAGCTAATAATACGGATTTTTTGATGTGTGAATAATACAACATCAGCACAAAAAGTAAACATCAGAATGAATTATGAATACACATTATTGTAAGTCGTTTTCATTCTATGCTGACGAATATGGAGTTAACAAACAGTAATCAAGCTCAAAAGTCCGATGAAACTACAAATCGCGAGCAGAACAAACAGGGACCTCTTAAAACATCAGAGGTGGGATCAGTTGTCATAGAGGAGTAAGCGTTCCCTGTCGACCGGTCAAACCCGCCGTGTGTGCTTCTTGTCATGATCGAGCAAACAGAAAAATCCGTAGACAATTCAGTGTGTAAATAATGACCTTATAATTAAAATGGAAAACGTCAGTCAGCGTTCGTTTTAATGATTTATTGTATTTGCTAATAAGGTCAATGTATCATCCATAGAACTTGCAAAATGCTGACTTTAAACGAGACTGTTGATATCCTTGTTTCATCAACTTGTTTGTCAATAGCTTGTCTCGTTTTAGAAATAGCATGCTCTTGCGTATGGAATCAAATGGGAGACATTAACTCCATATACAGGTGTTAAGGATATATTGCTACATAGATAAGGAAGTTGCCGTTAAAAAAGTTGAAATCATCACGTTTATTATAAAGTTCTGTTTTTAGGATACCATTAACGTTTTTAAGCAAAATATCCAAATATGAAACAGATGTGTCAGAATGTGATATCTTTTATTTCAAGTTCACTGGGATATATCGAGTCAACATATGGATGGAAGTAAGTATGGTTATTTGATAACACGTCTTCGATACATCTAAGTTATCGAGTTGAAGGCCACATCAAGTGTTTCCTTCTTCTCATGTATAACGTTTTGAATAAATTCTGCTTGATTTGAATATAAAAATAGGTCTGCTAATAACAGGGCGAAATTGGTACCCATAGAAATTCCGAAAGACTTGATCTCTAAAAACTACATAAATATTGTAAATCAGAAACCCAAGCATTTTTTGTATGTACAAGTATGTATAATCAGAATATTTTTAACAATATAATTTTGCAAATAACTAATGACAAGGTAAGTAAATTTACGAGTTATATTTTTATTAATAAAAGCAGCTGTTTATGATGTCAAAAAGCCTGGACTTAAATTTATCGTGTGGAATGGTTGTATACATGTAAAGTGTTGAAAAGAACTACTGATTAAATTTCAGGATCTGTTACTAGGGTAACAATTACGCCATTGACTGCCTTGTGAGAGTTACTTTAGTGTGTGATATAACTTTGTTCACAAATTATAATTATTGAAATTTTGTGGTGGGAAAAATCACTATCCACATTATTTCTTAGCGAAAATTTCAGAGCTTTTCATAAAGAAAATTAAAGATAAGAGCTTTAAGAAAATTAATCTAAAGTTCCAGTAAATTAAGCTTGGATAAAACAAAATCATTGACATTTTCTAAAGATACAAATGACATTCTTAGATAAACGAAAAAAATATATGAATGCACTTCCGAATTTTTCAATTGTGTTTAAAGAATGTCAGTCAAAGACTAGTACATAAGAAATGCATTGAAGTAACAAAGCATAATCCAAAAGTTCGGATCATGAAAACCTGATGAAAAGAGGACTGAATAGTAATTATGTTTTTTGAAAGCCAGTGAAAAAATCAAAAGAATAAAATAGCTTGATTGATTAAAAATACAATAGCTGATAAATTAGTGTTTAAAAGCTGCAAGGTGACATTTTCCTATGGAGTGGATAATACATTAATCGTAATTAGAGTATGAGTAAACGTATTTTCATCAGTATGTGAAGATTCACGACAAATGATTCCACTAATAATAATAAATATGTTGATTTCAAAATTCACATTTAATGTTAAGTTACAATCAAAGACAAAAATAACAGAGATACAGAGATTAGAAACTCCTTTATGAACGAGTGTATTTGCTAAAATGTGTACCTGTCCAGCCATTATTCTTAACCTAACCTTTATTTCTTTTATATGTTGACTTAAAGTTTATATATGTTAAATCTTTTGTGCATTGGGTACAGAATTTGTAACGCTTTAACGCAATTGGTTAATAAACAAAAGGAAAATTGAAGATGTCAACAATCAAAAGTTGGCGATATTTTTGAAGCATGGCTACTCGAGATTCACCTGTTTCCTTTTGAAATTCCTCCTTCTTTATTGTATTAATTATAAATCAAAATATAAGAAAACATTCTGAATAATTATTTGATAAGATTTAAAGGCTTCATTTCGTTACTTATAAAATTCCAAAGATATAAGTGATTTCAATTTGTTGTCCTCAAAATGTAATAATTATGAGGATAATGCGAGATTTCGAAGAGTATTAAATCTCTGTGTTTGTAACGCTCTGATGGCTATAATGTATACAAGTAATTTTAAATTTACCTCCTATCGCATTAATATAGTACAGTACTTAGCTATAAAATGAAAAGAATGAATGTGAAATGTTCAGATTTAATTAGTGAAAATTTAGACTCCAACATCTGATCTCTACGTCTACCAGAAGTTATTTTTTGAATCTTCATTTATTATATTAAAAGAATTATAACACTTTTATATAATGTTTATAAAATTGAAATTTAAAGATGAAAAAAGTTTCTCGCTTTGCAGTTGCCAATTTTTTTTCTGAAAAAAATCATTAAAATAATGAATTGAGTGTATATAACTGTCGACAACAACTCCAAAAAATTATAGAAACTATTGGCATGTTACACCAGCATCCTCAGAGTGACCACAGTTATGTTTTCCGTAGAAATTGTGCCTACAATAAAAGATAGACGACTCTGTTCCCTGACAGTCAACGTTATCAAACCAAATAGTTCCCGATCCCTGTTGATAATAGGCATTTCCGTGAGCTGTGGAGTCTCTGTAAATTAAATTATCAAAGCATGAGGATAACTATTTGTAAATTTTTGGTGGCTTAATAGATAAAAAAAGTAAAAATGTGGCAATATTCACCCTGAATAGCCAAGACTTCTGCAAACTACGCGCGCATCCCTATCATCCCAGTCGTCATCACACACAGTGCCCCACACCCCATTGAAAAACACTTCTACTCGCCCTTCGTTGCTTGAAGCTCCATTGACAAGTCTAATATTTCCTGTACATAGACGCGTTATAATTAAACAGGTTCGTGGTAGATATGTATGCTGACCAATATTTTTATACACAATCTGAAGGTAACGTTTTTCAGATTTGAAAATATCTAGATTCAATCAACAACTGCAAAAATATTCAGATGTTTTTTTGTTTAAAACGACTTATTTGTTTTTGTCAAGATTGAATCAGAAATAAATGAGAAACACATTTGCTGTATATGTAATGAATGTTTATAATGGTGACATTAAGACTTTGGCTACTATTTTTATGTTCAACTTGATGATGACTTTGATATTTTTGACATCCTTTTGCAATTAAAAGAACAAATCAAATTTTGAAAAAAAAAAAAAAAAAAAAAAAAAAAAAAAAAAAAAAAAACTTTCATCAAGTAAAAAAAATCAGATTATTGACATTTTTGTATCTCCTTTATATTCATTTTAACATGAATTAACAAGTTATTCAAAAACCTAACTTAAAGTCAGCATTTTGCTTTCACCAATTTTAAAGTCAGTTTTCCTCAAATTTCTTGGTCGTTATAACGACCTTGTTTGCAAATACAGCCTATCGTTGGGTCGTAATTCGTCTGACATATGTAAGGCTATTCTTTTCACATTAAATTTGACGACCAATTACTCCGTCTACCTCAGTACCTGATCAAAACATTGGGTTCAAAGCGGATGAGACCGGTCGACATTGGTTTATTATCGGATCTGTAGTACTTGGTAGAGATTATCAATAGACTAGTGTACAGGAGTCCTAGCATTCCTATAGTGATCCGTAGAGATTAACTAAAGCTTAGGGCACATTTGTAACCACACCAGACATATAGAACTCAGTAGAGCATATCAATTCTTACAACGGAATAAAATTTTTATCTTACCGGAAAAACACTCAATTTCCACACTACCGTTGGTATTACAGTCTCCACCGTTAATCAAGAAAAATGTACAATGTGTTGGCATCCTTTCGAATCCAGAGCACGACATAGAGTTCGCCAAAGGTTCTCCAAATGCACTTGCATTTTCCCAATTTCGCACTGACAGAGCATATCTGCAATATAACTAATGTCATGTTAAACAGTGAATTATGACATTGTGTTTTCAATATCATCCCACTGACTACAGATCAAAAACATCAAAGTAAACCGGCAATGAAATAAGTGTATAAATCTTTGTGTTTGCCATCTGTTAAATGATAACTGTAGCTCAATACTTTCTATCACCCCAATGACTACAGATAAAAATTCATGTTAAAAGATATTGACATAAATATAAAGAGTATATTCAACGTTTTGAGGCTAGATATGGAATTTATTTCACGAGTTGGACAAGATTTTTTTTATATTTCACGAGTGCAAAGCACGAATGAAAATATAAAAAAAAATCCTCTCTCATGAGTGGAATTTTATGTTAATTACATTTCCTTTACTTTCTCTTTGCATCTGTATTTTCGTACCGCAGTATCGTAGGCTGTTACGTCATAGTTGTTACATGTCACAAATATCACATCATTAAATCAAACGGTTTGGAATATAGTAAAATTGCATATGTTAATATATTCAATATGATCTTACATCTTGACCTCGTTGCCACCCATCCATGCAGGCAAGCCTCCCAAACCAGTCGATTCCTTCCAGTCAATCCTTTCATGGTTTTTTTTTTCTCTCTCTCTTTGTGTGTGTGTGGGGGGGGGGGGGTAGGGGGGGTGTGTGTGTGTGTGTTATATACCCTTATTTTATCAAGTAAAATATTGTATGTTTCGTCGTCACCTTATACTAAAGTAGGCGACACTTTAGTAAAATCCCCTACTTTACTTCATTGACGTAGTCGGTAATTCGATGCGGGGATTTTGTATGTTTTAATCATTTTCAATATTTGCAAAAATTCACGTGTAAATTGTCACTCGTGAATAAAAACACGGATTGTAATATTTCGCATTAAGTCAATTTGGAATTTAGGAAACTGTTGTTAACAGAAATATGGAGATAACGAACAGTAATCAACCTAGAAGGTTCATTGAAACAATACAAATCGACAGCAGGGCAAACAGACCTCGAAAAGCATCAGAGGTGTGATCAGGTGCCATGGAGGAGTAAGCATCCCCCGTCGACCGGTTACACCCGCCAAGTGTTCCTTGTCATGATAGGGCAAACAGAAAAATCCGTAGACAATTTAGTCTGTAAATAATGACCTAACAATTAGTATGAAAAACGCCAGTGAGCATTCGACTTAATAATAGATTGTATTTGCTGACAAGGTCATTGTATCGGCAATAGAACTTGCCAAATGTTGACTTTAGACGAGACCGTTGATATCTTTGTTTCATTAACTTGTTTGTCAATAGCGTGTCTCGTTTTAGAAATTGTTCGTACGTAAAGCATGCTCTTGCGTATCGAATCAACTGGGAGACATAAACACTCAATGTGCAGGTGATAAGGGTATATTACTACATAAATAAGGAAAGTTGACGATAGAAAAGATGAAGTCATCGCGTTTCTAAGAAGCAAGGTTTTTTTTTAAAGAAAAACCATCGTTTTTCGGCATCCAGGGTGAAATTGAAAATACCGAAGCCTTACTGCACATCTACAGGACACCATTAATAATCATTCAAAAGATGAATTTGCTACTGCGTAAAATGTAAGAGGAGTTCCGGGAACCAGGTTTTTTGTTTAAAAAAAACACATTTTCGACCCCAAGGGAGAAAATGAAATTCCCAAACCTTATTGCACATCTACATCTACAGACGATTTGGCCACTGTGTAAATTGTGAGAGGAATTTTGGGAACCAGGGGTTTTTTTAAAAGAAAAAAAACATCGTTTTTCGGCCTCCAGGGTAAAATTGAAAATTCCAAAACCTTATTGTACATCTACAGAACACTAGCTACCATACTCCAAAAGATTAAGAAGAAAGTGTCGGACGGACAGACCAGGGTAACAACAATATACCAGAACTTTCTTTAGAAAGTGCGGGTATAAAAAGATTTTTTTAGTAGTACTTATTGCATATGGTATTTGGTAAATGGAGAGAGAAAAGAGAGCGAGAGAATGACTAAGAGCAGAATGAAAGAGAGGCATACCCAGTATAACCAAGACTTCTGCAGATAACCTTTGCATTGTTGTCATCCCAGTTGTTGTTACATAATAATCTCCAAGACCCATTAATATATATTTTAGGTGTAATTACACTCTTTCCTCGGGCGGAATTTTCGTTTACATATTTCATCGTTTCTGAAGAAAATCAGAAGAGATGATATTCAAATTCTGTCATTTCATACAACTATTTAATATAATACTACACTGTATATTAATTCAAATTTAGTAAAAATAAGAAAGAATCGTTCAAAGGTACCATTTTTAATGTGGTAGCAAACGACCCCAGCTTTTCCTCCATTACAGCCGCTGGATCGAATGACTGATTGTGAACACTTTAATATAGAATCTTCATTTCCATTACAATTTATGTCGCCCAACATCATCATGTCTTCCATATCCTCTGAAGATGGCTGCGAGGAAACCGGAAACCCTCTATAAAACAGTCAGCAACAGTTTCGTATCAATGATAAATTGGCATAAACGTACAAGAGGAGCCTGCCTATGGTACTAAACTATAGGAAAAAATGACTTATTCTGTTATTGATTATTAACTTAAATGAATAATACATACTTTTATTTGAAAAGAAAAGAAAAATGTTGGGAATGCGACCGGAATACCTCTAATAAAAAAGACTCTTTATTTAAAGTTCATTGCCAGCAACTTTTCTATGTATATTCAAATTGAAAGAAGAGAAATATAGCAAAAAAATGTCATTTTTAACTTCTAGACCAACTTGTTGTTTAAAAATACAATCTGCTATTACCCTAAATATCCTAAACTTCTACATGTCACATCAGCCTCATTGATGCCCCATCCATTGTAGCATACACTTCGCCATCGGTCATTAACCAAAACTTCAACTAGACCCTCACCAGGAGAGCTGCCATTAGCAGTTCTTGTTACATCTGACATGCATAAATGAATAAATGCAAATAAATTAGGGATGGTAATCGAAAACAGAATAGCTTATCGGTCAACCGCATCCGCAGCCGTTCCGATCGATTAATGGTTTATTAGTATCAATATACACATTTTGGGCATATTGATTTAAGTAAGCTGTGTAAATGTACACATTGAGACTCAAAAAGACGTTGGTATTAATTTGCGTATGTTGATAAGATATTTATATACATTTTATTTCGTGTTCAATAGGTGAGAAAAATTTTATAAGAAAAGATTTCATAGACATCAATTTTCCTCCTAGCAGAGTATTTTTTATATTGCATTACATGTATCACCATAATCAAAACTGAGTTTAAACTATCACTGAAATTACAATGGTTGCTTAATAATATAATTTGTTAGATAAATAAAGAAAGATAGACGGGGTAAAGACAGATTATAATCAGTTCACAATCCTCAATACTGATTTGAATATTATCATTAAAGAAATACAAGATAACCTGGGTAACGACATGGTGTTTAAACAATAATCATCACTTTGCAAACTGATCTACTACTCCCATGTTTGCTAAGATTTTTTTTTCAACTAACCGATTATAGAAGTTTTATCTGATTACCATTGTTACGACCGAGTTACCGGTTAACCGGTTACAAGTTGTCTTCACTAAAATAAATCATTATAAAAAATGAAAAGATATTTTGATTTAAAGCATGAAATATAGGACGCATAAATTCTAAACAACTCACTATTTACTGCTCGGTAACAAATAACTCCCGCTCCTCGACCATCGTAACAACTTGTGGAACCTGATGTTGTACATTCTAACAAAGAATCTTCATATCCGTAACAAGACATTTGGTCGAAGAACCAATTATCATTCTCCGTCCCTCCAAATGTCGGCATTGAGACTGGAAGACCTCTGCAGAAAAGATGCTTTTAAAAATACAGTAATTGAAATAATTTAAATTCTTATCTATACATGTATTTAAATGTAAGAAACAAAAATAAGTATTAAAATTTCAGATCCCCAAACCACCTGATTTCTCGAAAGACAAGGAAAAGAGCATTTAAATCGTTGCCAAGGAAATACAATGTTCATTTATTGAGCACTGCATATGACGTTTTACAATATTTCTACCAGAAATAACCTCAATCGTATAGATAGCTGCAGAAAATGTGAAATTATATTTGAATGAAAACCTGCATTTGCTGTGTGGTGACACTATCTAAAATTACCTTAAATAGCCTAGACTTCTACATGTTACATCAGCGTCATTTTTGTCCCATCCATTGATACATACACTTCGCCATCGATCATTCACAAAAATCTCAACTAGACCCTCATCCGGGTAACTGCCATTAACAATTCTGGTAACATCTGTGAATGCAAACAATGTACAATGTGCAAAATTTTATGCATCTTTGAAAGGTAATTCATTTCGCATTAGCCCGTGTCTGAGATCTTTTGCTCTATTCTTTCATTTTTTCTTTCGTTCACTGTCCTTTTTGCTGCTGATTGGTTGAAACTAAATAACATATACACGACAACAGCAAGCTAGGTATTATGCAGGGGTTTTGACAAACCGCCGCCCTATCAAATTGCATACATTAGGCGAATCATCTTCACGTCGTCTATTTATAGCCATTTACTCGGAAATCTAAGGATAGTTTTCCAATTTTCAAAAGTGCCTACAATACACAAAATTAAATTTCCACTTAACAATCCCACCAAAAATAGTTGATTAAGTCGTTGGTGTTAACATGTGTCTATAATGTCATGGACTATAGATGTGAAGTTTCTAAATAGTACAAATTAAAATCTATTAATAACTACAGTTATATTGTGTTAGGTGCTTCTTTGATTTGACTCAACCAATAAGCTTTGGAATGGTTGACCAATAAGAGAGGGAATTGCTTTACGCAAATGGGAATGTTCAATTCAATGATTAATTGATTGAATATATGTTGTTTTACGTCCTGTTCGAGATTTTTTCACTCATATAGAGACATCAACATTTACCAGTGAAGGGCTTCAAATTTTGATTTTTACTTGGCAATCAGGACCATTCAACAATGAGGAATCTTTGTCGTGCCAACGCCTGCCGTGACAAGCGACCTCGGTTTTTAAGGTCTAATCCCAAAGACCTGCAACTTTTGCTTCAAAGTGCCGAGCGCTTTGCGGAGGAACATTTGCTACTTATTTCTTTATCGACTTAGGTCAGTCGCAGACGGGGTTTGAACCCTTGACTTTTCGATCAAAACCGACTGGGCTACCATGACGGTTTCAATGCAATGAAATGCGAAAAGAAATGAGTCGTAAAAGTATCAAGAACAAAAAATAAAGAAATGAAATTCTGTCTACATCCTGCATCCAAATGCATAATTTTCAATTTTATAGATTCCTCAAAGATGAAATATAAATTGCGTTAATTCTCCACAACCCACCATTTATCGCGTGGTAACAAATAACTCCTAACTTAAGACCATTGCTACAACCGGTGGATCTTGATGCTGCACATTCTAGCAAAGAATCTTCATTTCCATCACAATCCATGCCGTCTAAGAACCAAGTCTCTTTTTTCTCCTCTTCAAATATCTTCAATGACATTGGAATACCTCTACAAATAAGCTGCTATATTTATAAACGTGTACATTGACAGAAAAAAAATCTTCATCTACATTCAGATTTAGGGAATATTAATACATTCTAACACCCTTAACCGAATTTGGAGACAAGGAAAGAACTTAATAGGTTATTCATTACTACATGAATGAAATATGATGTTCGTTTGCTTAAAAAGTACACATGATGTTTTAAAAATATTTCTACTAAAGATGACTGCGATTGTGCGGAATGCTAAAGAAATATGTTGAATATTTAACAAAATGATAACCCGCAACCCCTCCCCCATCCCCAATTTTTTCAATAGTACAATCTAAAATTACCTTGAATATCCAAGACCTCTACATGTCACATCAACCTCATTTTTGTACCACCTTTTGTAGCATACCCTTCGCCATCGGTTATTAACCGAAACTTCAACTAGACCCTCACCAGAAGAGCTACCATCAACAATTCTTACTCTACCTGGAATTAAAATGTAAATGAAATAAGAAGACTCCTCAAAAAATTATGAAACGCGGAGGTTGCAATTGCGCATGCCAAACATTAAGACATCGGTTCTTTTTATCGGCAGCAAAAAGTGAACCAGGAAATAACTGTTGTGAACTGTTCAGAATGGGAGAAGGGGGCTGGGAAAATATTAAACAGCAGCCTTTAGAACTAACAGTTGCGTTCAGTGGGTAACGAAGAAGAGCAATGTTCTTCCTTCAGCTTTAAGGTTGACCCTGCAAAGGGACACAACTCATTTTACTTTTACTTTCGGTAAGGTATAGGTTGAACTACGGGCAATTTTTAAATTCAAATAAATAAAGAATTTATCGCTCAGGCTATAATATGACTAGAGCACAATTAAGGACAGTCTACAAATGATTTAAAGACAAAAATATAAATAAAATAAATTATATGTGCTGTCGATATTCGACATTGGGCAAACCTATTGTGTATTTGTCTTTTATATACAATGTAACGCTGCATTTTCAATCATTAGTCAATACTACACACAAATTATTCTAATCATGTGGTATTGTTTTTCAGTAGGAGTTATCCACCCTTAGATCTCAAAATCCACAGTATAGTACAATACTTGTCATCAATTCAAGCACGCCTGGCATTACTTTATAATCATAAAGTTTTCCCATAAACAACAGAAATTTCTGTTTATCAATGCGTATTTTTCAAACATTTTATGGGGGTCATAAAATGGCTCATACACTATGTTAAAATAAGTTAAATTAATTTTAAAATATGTTTTGTCCGCGGACACTATGACTGGTTCCCTATGTCAGTTATAATTAAAATAATTTATTTTCTCATTTCAATAAAACAAAAAATTAAAAACGAACGGGGGTGGTTTTACATGCAAGGCTTCCTAGTATCCAACAGTTACAATACTACTATGTAGCAGTAGAGGCCAAGTTGGTAAGTGATATGATTTTAATTTCTAGGGAATTTATTTTTAATAAGCCTGGGCCTTTGTAAGCTGGTGTACAATTTCTGTTCTTCACTTAGACATCCCTTAATTTTATCATTACAGTGTACAGTTGCCTGCAAATCATTTCAGTTCTTTTCCCACCGTCATCTGGACAGGTTACCTCGGCAACAAGAGCTGACCATGGTCAAAAGAGTGCAACAGAGTGATCATTCAATTTTTTTGCAATCTTAAATCTTTATAGGTAATTGAAAATTAAGTAGTTTAAACAAGAAATAAAAAAAGAATTGACAGAACCATTCTCCTTTAACCTCTGTTTTGTCTGACGTTAGGCTACAACTAGTTAGGTAAGCATCCAAGCAGGATGAATTCTTTAGGTTACTCTGCTATTAGTGATATCAAGCAGGATTAAGTTAGTGTTAATGATTTCATGCTTTAAGACCTTTCCTTGGTACTTGACGCGTCTTTGACACTCCTTCAGACACGTTAGCCATGTTGAAAAAGGGGATCTATTGACTTGCCTGGATATCAAAAATGCATTTAGATTGTTGCCTATACACCCTGCAGATTTTGCTAGTTTTATTTTAAAATACAGTGTTAAATTTACATGGATATATTTTGACCAGTTGGCTATGCAGTCAGCTGTACTTACATTGACAAGGCTTTTCAACTTTTAAGTGGGCCCTTAGGGAAACATTGAGGGAGTAGCAATGTTGTACACTATTTAGAGGATTTTTCTGATAGCAAGAAAATCAGGTACTTTTTACTGTGCAAACCGTATGTGATGTGTTTGTTCCACTTGCTAAGACTTGAAGGTAACAAGTCCTACAACAATTTTTGACATTTCTTGGCTTAGATACTAACACTCTGCATATAAATACTGAGATTCCACATGCAATTTATGATATCTCCTTATTTCTAATTTAAATAAAAAGCAAGGTAGCTCTAAGATAATTGCAAAACTTTGTTATAAAATCAGGCACTGCATTATTTTTCCATAGAGTATATGATGCTCATATGGCTTAACAAAGCCTAATTTAAAAAAAAAATACTTTTTAAGATCACAAGAGAAATTGAATTATAGGATCTTTACCAACAATTAAGCATACATTTTATTTTTCATGCACACTTCTCATTTGGGGCAAATATCAAGCTTTTAGGTGTAATCTCTAATATTTGTCAAGGGAAGGGGAATATTACTATCAGAGCTGTTAACTATTACGGAAATTCCGTATTTATCCCTCAGTATTGTTTCAAAATACGGATTGACTTTCTGAACTTACGCTTCTGGGCTATGCTCAGAATTTTAATTTTTTTAATGTAGTATTAATACTCTAGCAGTACTAGTGATAGGGATTCACTTATAGACTTTAATTACCCTTTTTTTTGAATGATTCACGTATGATACAGTACGTGCTGACATAATGGATATTAATCTAACGATCAAAATTATTCTTATCTAAAATCAAGCGTACATTAGAAAATGAAAGCAAAAGTATTGTCAACAAATTACAGATTTAAAGCTCAAATTATGAACAGAAAGCATTTAAATTACTGAAAGTTGCATAACAAGGTAAAGACCTCTATACCATGTTAAAAAAGTCAATCCTATAGACAAAGCTGCAGAAAATTGAAGACCGAATCATTTTATCTAATAATACACAGGGAGAATGACGTTGTTCAGGAAGTTAACTTTGTCTTGCTTCACAAAAATGTTGAATAAAGATCTAGTCACACATACATAAATTACATAAGTTGTTGAGAAAGGCTGGCAGAATTCCTAACCAGGTTTTGATGGTGTACAGCTTACAATGAATACATTCTTAAGTATATAGAAACCATGAAATTAGAAATGTTAATCCTGAATTGTTTAGAAATCAAAGTCACTAAAATTCCTTTGGCAATAGCTTTCTTCGGCATAGAGTTTAGCAATCACTGCAATATTTCCTGACTGATCCCATAGTAACAAAACCCCCAAAGATCGATGATCATTGACCATGGTGTTCATTTGTATGTTGTTTCATGGTGTTCACTAATTGGTAACGTGACACCCCAGTCGTGTTGGGTTTCCCAGAGAAAGCAAATTTGTTGCAGGCTCCCAGTTTTGTTTTGTTGCATGATGTTCACCAACTGATGACTTGACACCAGGTTATGGTGGGATGTCCAAATAAAGCATTAAAATTGCTGGATCGCAATCAAATGTTGTGGTATGGTGCACGTGATTGATGACGTAATTGTAATAAAGCAAAATTTTTGGTGGATCCCATAAGTATTTTGTTTCATGGTGTTCACTGATTGATTATATAACACCGAGTTGCGTTGGAATGTCCAAATAAGGCAAAATTTTTGCTGAGTCTAAATTGTTGTGGTTTGATGATCACTGATTGATGACGTGCTTGGTGTCTGCGTTTGGGATGCACGATTAAAGCAAAAATGTTGTTGTCTCTCATTCCCGTGTTGTTGCATGGTGTTTACTGATTGTTGCTGCCTCCTAATTAAATGTTTCGGTTTGGTGGTCACTGATTGATGACATTACTGCTTTGTTTGGGATGCCTCCATAAAGCAAAATTGTTATTGGCTCCCATTTGTGTTGCCGTATTGTGTTCACTGATTGGAGACTTGTTCACTGCGTTTTGTTTAGAAGCGTCGCTCAGTATAAAAAGGCGTCACTCTTTTGAGTCCATAAGGGACACAGACTCAAAGAGTTCATACGGTATCCCTCGGATAATCCTCAGGGATATAAAACATATGTCATTTGCACAGTCTTCGGATTCCCAGTTTTGGTATAAAAACAATAGTTCATACAAAAAAATGAGAGAATTTAAAGTTTCTATTAGAGATATATTTGAAGTTTTATTTTTCCGATCTCATGTATTCTATTTCAAAATGTTCTATGAAAAATTGTAAAACCTGTGACGTTTTGATTACTTAAACTTCTTTTACTAGTAATCTTACTGGACAGAGCTTCTTTTCCAAAACTTGGGGAAATCTGTACTGCAAATCTTCTAATGTTGTCTACGGAATAGAATGTAATCTTTGTGGGCTTATTTATGTTGGTGAAACCAAGGGTTCCCTTAATAAAAGCATATCGGGGCATAGATTTCTAATTAACGATGGGGACAAGCAGCTTCTATTCAAGCACTTTAATTTACCTGATCATTCTATTTTGTCAACGAAAGTTAGAATTCTAGAAAAGATTTACCATCATACTAATAACCCATCATTGAGTACACATTTCCGTAGACAACGAAAATTTGGGTTAGAAAACTAGGCACGGACTTTCCATATGGATGCAATGACAATGTCGATAGTGTTTGGAATCTTTCCAGTCCACAGTTTACATGTAGCAATGTGAATGTGATGGGACTTTTTAACAACGTAGTCATGGACATCGGTCTTACAATAAACCTATTGTACGCGATGTCTCCTTTGATTCACTATTACCTTATGTAAAAAAAAGTTAGATCTTCATCACATTCGCACCAATCTTTACTCTGTCCCTTTGAAACTTATAAATAGGCTATTTGAGAAAGTCAAGGAAAGTCCATATTGGAATCTTCGACACCAGAATACAGACTCGGATCTGTGATTATACATATTGCAAAACATAGGCATTTTAAACCGTCACGTTTTACGGAAGAAAATGCTGCTAAAACAACCCGTTTTTTCCTTCAACTTCAATATACCAATAAAGGAATTGACGCGGTTAATATCGTATAAGCAGAATTTTTAGCGAGGATTTAATTTTGGTATTATTAGCGAGGGTGTTGAGATCGCTAACATTGAATATGTCTAAAAATTAATTACGTTTTCTTTATAATATCTTCTTTAGTGAGCATTTTAAAATCGCTAAAATTACTTCTCGCTAAAAATAAAATGCCGATTTTTAAGGACGAATCGCCAAATTTGCGTCTCGCTAAAATTTCCACATACGGTATAAAGAAATATATTTAATAACAAAAGGGTCCAGTCTTGTATTCCACCATACTTTAAGTTGAAATCAACATTTTATATTTATTACAAATATACATCGACTTTTGCTTCCATTTTTTTAATTACAAGAAAACTCTTCAGGGCCTAGATATCGAACACCTGAAACATAATCCTCCAAAGTGTTCATGTTCTTTTTCACCCTACAACTATAGTCCTGCTGCACTAAATATAGTTAATAATGATGACCTTAAATCACTTATTTTAAAAGGGCCAAAATTTAGGGAACTCGATCTTTCAACCGGCGTCATAATTTCATAAATATTATGAATTCTGTGGAAGAGCGATTGGCCAAACATGAAAAAG